GCCGAGGCCAGGCCGCCACTGTGCTGGGGTCCCGGGGGCACCGGGGCTGGCCGGGCTCTGACCCGCAGGCTGACTCCTAGAGGCCCTGTACCGCCCCGCCCTCCCCACCCCCGCAGGCCCGGGGCTCCGCCCCTGCTCACCCATGGGGTCTGAGGAGTCCGTGATGATGACGTCAAAGGCATCCTGGTTCTGCTTCATGAACTCGAACCCGTCGCCCACGTGTAACGTCAGCTTTGAGCTGGAGTAGCCAACGGCCATCCCTGGCAGGAATTTCTTAGAGACTTGGATGACATCCTGGACAGGGGGACAGGAGGGACCAGGCTGGGCCGCGGGGCTTGGGGGGGCTGGAGCCGGGCCACTGCGGGCAGGCCTTCCCTTTCTGGAACCTCGGTTTCCACATCCGCGCAATGGGCAGGCCCCTGGCACCCCCGACGGCCGCCATCCCTGACCCCTTCCCCGCCGGAGGTCACCCTCTCCCCTGCCACACGGCCAGCGGCTGCTCTCAGGCCCCGGCCCGGGCCTTCCTGCCCCAGCCCGCACCTCTACCCCAAACCTGGCCTCTGATGCCCCATCCCCACCCACACCGCCGGCTCCCAGGGGTGCCCCCTGACCGAGACCCGCGCCCCTCCCAGCATCTGTCTTCCGGATGAGAAAACCCCGCGCCACTCACCTCGTCAATCTCGCACTGGACCACGGACTCCACGGACGGGTGCTTGACCACCTCGCGCAGGACCCCGCCGTCCCCGCCGCCTATGATCAGCACCTGCGGGGGGTGGGGGGCGGTCAGCGCGGGGCAGGCGGCGGCGGCCGGCGCCCCCTCCCCCGGGCGGCCCGCGTACCTTCCGCGGGCTGGGGTGGCTGCACAGGGGCAGGTTGGCGATCATCTCCTGGTACGAGAACTCGTCGCGCTCCGTGCACTGGATGACGCCGTCCAACACCAGCACGTTGCCGTAGGTCTTACTGCGGGCGGCGGGGTGACAGTCGGGGGTCCGGGTCCTCGGCGGTCGGGGGCAACGCGCCCCACCCCGCCCCGGGCCGGCAGAGGCGCCCCCCCGCCCCGCCGGGCAGCCCAGGGGCGAGCGGCTGGGGGACACGTGGCGGGGATGGGCGGGCAGGCCCGCCGCGCAAGCCGGGGTCGGCCGGGCTCTGACGCGCCCCGGGACTGACACGTGGAGCGCGCGCTCCTCCGGCCCCCTCCCACCCCCGGGGGCCGGGGAGCCGGCCTAGCTGGCGAGAACTTCTGACAGTTTGGCGGGCGGGGGCGGCTCGGGCGCGCAGGACCGCGGTCCGGTCTCCCGGGGCGGCGGTGGGGGGCCCGGCGGGCCCCAGGCTGGAGGGGGTCCCCGGGGTGGGCGGCTGCGAGCCCGCCGGCCGGCGCGGTACCTGCGGAAGACGAGGATATCCTGGTACCGCGAGCGCTGGTGGTGGAGCAGCCGCTCCACCTGCAGCGACAGGGCCTGGCCGGGCCACAGGCTGCACGTCTCGCGGAACCAGCCCTCGCGGATTGCAGTGGGGCCGGGGGCTGCGAGGCCGTCGGGGCCGGGCTCCATGGCTGGCGGGCGGGCGGGCGGGCGGCGCGGGGCGCGGGCCCGGGACTACAGGCCGCGCGCGGAGCCGCAGCACAACGGGACCAGCTCCGCCCCGCCGCCCGCGCCGCAACCTAACCCGCGGCGGGGCGGGGCCTGCGGGCCAGGGGGCGGGGCCCGACCCAGCCAATGGTGGCGCGGGAGCGGCGCGCGGCGAATCGGCGGCGCGGCCTGGCCGCGCGCTCATTGGTCGCCGGTCCGCCGCGCGGCACCTAGTGGCTGGGGCGCGCCGTCCGTCGGCTGCAGCAGGGTAGTAAGGCCCGCTCCCGGGGCCACGTGGGGCCGGCCCGGGCCGCCGGGCGGGTTCCGGGGGCGATCGGGCCGGCGGCAGGGGTCCGGCGTCCCTGCTCCAGCGCCGCGTAGGCAGGGCGGCGCAGCCGCTACCCTGAGCTCCTGCCCGCTCTCTGGGGCCGGAGGCGCCGAGCGAGGGGCTCGGGGCCCGGGAGGGGCAAGGAGCTGACGGCTCGGGCTCGGGGCGGTGTGGGGGCGCTGGGACCCGCGTCCGGGGGCTCGCAGCCCGCGAGCGCACAGGCTGGATTTGGCATTTTCCCTTAGATTCTGAGCCACCGGCCGTGTCCAGGGAGGAGGCCCAGCCATGAATATTCAGCGCCAGCCCGGGTCCTGCTCCCTGCAGGGGTGGGCAGGGATGTGCTTTCTGTTTTTATGAAAATGTCAAGGAACTTCTCAGAGTCACATTAAGCATGCTAATTACCAAATATTAAATGCTAATTGCTACGCACGAAGCCTGAATGCCAAGGAAGATGAAATTGGTGGAAGCTACTGTGACATTATGTCAAGGTTTTTTTTTTTTTTTTTTTTTTGACGTTTTCCAGCCTCCACCTGGAGGTGGGGAGCGAGTCCCCAGTCCGCGGAGCCTCCCTGCGAGGAGCACCGCGCTGTTGACCAGGGAATGCCTGCCTGAAGCCTTCCATCAACAAGGCGCTGTGGCCGGCTTCAAGCTCCCCAGGAGTGGTTTCAGGACACAGGTTATCCAGAGAGGTCGCGAGGGAGTCAGTCCAGGCTTCTGACCAGGTCCAGCCCGTGCCCGGGTCCGCGTGCTTGCCCGACAGGCTACCGATACCTGGGCCACCACAGCGTTTCCTGTGGGTGCCCGCCGAGCGCACTGTGAGCCCAGGAGGCTAGGGGTGGCCTCTGCCGATGGCCGGGCGCGTGTGGGCAGCCCTCGTGGCTTCCTGCTAGGTGGAGTGTGGCTGATCTAGACAGGGGCCCTGGCATCCCAGGAGCACCGTGTGGGGAAAGGTGGAGGATCAAGTCCATCCATCCTTCTACAGCAGAACAAGGAGGGTGCCAAGTGAGAAAGACAACTGCCCTCTTCCGGTCACCCTGGAGGGGAAAATGTGGCCCAGCCAAGGGCAGGAAGATGGGAGACCTCTAGGCTGGAGTATACAGGGGGCACTCAGCCCGGGTTCAGGGAAAACAAGGCCCTGATGGAGGGAGACCAAGTCCCCAAGTCTGCACATAGAAATACACATTTGTTCACCTTATATAAACTAAAAATACATAAATAAAGGCCCCGAACCCGTTACAGGCCAAAGTGCCCCCTGTGCAGCACCAGGAGCCCAGGTGCGACCCAGGGCTTCCAGTCACCAGGAGGAAAAACTGGTTTAGCCAGAGCAGCACCACAACCAATACTGCCGATACTGCCGATCAGGACGGAGGACTGCATTCAAACAGCTACAAAGTGTTGCTGTCTGGTGAGCTGACCACCCAACCTCCCAGCCTCCTCCAAAGGGCTGAAGCTTAGAGTGGGGCAGGGCGGCAGAGGGGTACAGGGAGGGGAGGCGTCAGTAGCTACAGCCCAAGGTAGGGGGCTGTCACCTGGGGGTGTCTGCCAGGCAGGGACTTGTGGGCGAGGCAGCACCTGACGGGAGCTCAGAGCGCTGTGCTCAGCCAGGCAGACAGCTGTGGCTGAGCGGGAACAAATCCAGCCATTGTACGGCGCTACTGGATGGGAATGCTGATGGCGAGCTGCCCGTGCACCACAAACAGCTGCAGGCCAACAGCCCTGCTGGTGCTGGATTCTCAGCTCCCAGCCCTCCCAGCCCGGCCAGCTCCTGCATCCCGGGGCCCAGGCCCAGCCCCCATATCCCGGAGTCCAGCCCCAGCCCTCCCAGCCCGGCCAGCTCCCGCATCCCGGGGCCCAGGCCCAGCCCTCCCAGCCCGGCCAGCTCCCGCATCCCGGGGCCCAGGCCCAGCCCTCCCAGCCCGGCCAGCTCCCGCATCCCGGGGCCCAGCCCCAGCCCTCCCAGAGTGACTGAGCAGCTGCTGATTGGGACACACATAGACACACACACACCCCCATGCAAGTGTCCCATCCTCCTTGGTCCCTTCCCCGTGACACTGCTGATGGACAGAGCTAGGGCTGTGGCCTGACCCCCTGGGGCTCCTGTCTCCACCCCAAGGATCAGCAGCTCTGCACCTTCAGCTTCCGCTAAAACTAAAACTTCTGACATTGGTACCAATTTTTTTATTGTGTAACGAGGGATATTTACAAAGACCTCAAAATCCTATTGTCTGGTTTCCACCTTAAAACATTATCATGAATACAGAACTATTAAGAAAAACTTGCAGTTTGGGGCCAGCACCGTGGCACAGTGGGTTAACGTCCTCCCCTGAAGTGCTGGCATCCCATATGGGCGCCGGTTCGAGACCCAGCTACTCCACTTCTGATCCAGCTCTCTGCTGTGGCCTGGGAAAGCAATGGAAGATGACCCAAGTCCTTGGGCCCCTGCACCTGCATGGGAGACCTGGAGGAAGCTCCTGGCTTGGGATCAGCGCAGCTCCGGCCGTTGTGGCCAGTTGGGGAGTGAACCAGTGGATGGAAGACCTCTCTCTCTCTCTCCTCTCCCTGTGTAACTCTGCCTTTCAAATAAATAAATAAATCCTAAAAAAAAAAAAAAAAAAAGAAAAAGAAAACCTTGCAGCTAGAGGACAGGCCCTGTTTTAACCCCGAGAAACGGCAGGGAGCGACTGCCTCGACCGCGCACTCGGGAAAGGCCCGGGAGGGTTCCGTGCCGAGGCCCACCCTGGGCAGGGCTCCAGGCGATCCGCTTCCCCTCCGCACGTTCTGCTTCCTGCACTTCTTGGGTGGACATGCCTTTACTTTTACACTCAGGAGGGAAGGCAGAGGAGAGAACCAGTCTTCCGGGAGCCACCTCGCGTTCCCTCTCCAGACTTTTCCTCCGTCTGAGGGCAGTGAAGAAGCGGGAGGACGCACAGGCGCCTCCTGAGATGCGGCCCGGACGCGGGCTCTGCTGTCACCGCAGGCGCCTTCGTGCCCGGGGGCCGGTGCGGACTTCTCCAGAAGCCACCACCTCCGAGGCCCACCTGCCCAGCTGCCTCTGTCCTCCTGCTGGAGCTGTGACGGCAGCCAAAGACCAGTCGGGAACCAGCTTTCCTCCAGTAAAAACCAGTTTAATACTTTAAAAATGCATCTGTACAAAACCAGCAGCGCCGCGTGGCGCCTGTAGTCCACTGCGTGGTCCCCAGCGTCTCTCCGGTCATTATCTCTTGGGCCAGTTGTGCCTGAAGCCTCTGCAGAGACAGGGGAGAAGAGTGACTCCCTCCGGCCGGGAGGGAAGTCTGTTCCCGCCAGTGTGTACAGTGTGGCGCCCGTAACAACGCTGGCACAGCCGGGGGAAGGGTTTGCTCGCGGGCTCAGGAGCTCTGCAAGGCAGGGCAAGAGGTGGCCTGCAGAGGCCACGGCCCCACGGCAGGGCCTCAGGATTTCATACTTATCACTAAAACATCCCTCAGCTACAACCCCCCACATTTACTTGTTGTCATTCCTAAGAAACAGGCTGGCCTAGGAAAATCTGTTCTCAGGTGGCCCTGGGGACGGTACAGGAGAAAGCTAGAACGATGGGACTTGGAGTCCTGGGAACATGGCCACGTGACAGATGGCACGGAGCAAACCACCTCCCCTCCCCTCCCAAACGACAGGGAAAAGGCCCCACCCCTGAGCTCCGGGAATGGCGGAGCAGGTCGGGGCTTCCCACTGGGCTCCTGGCCCCGCCGCCCCCACGCACCTGTCGGATTTGCCGGCTGGAAAGGACATGCTCTTGTTTCCCACTGACTGCTTCAGTTTCTTGGCTGCGACGCATTTCTGAGAAGAAAGGAAAGCACTCAGGCTGGGGGAAGCACCGCTGAGGGTGGACAGCCAGGCACAGCCCGCAGCACCACAGGCGGCTCTGGCTTCCCGGGGCTGCACGTGAGGCTGAGCTGGGCCAGGGCCAGGAGGGGCACCCAGCCGCTCCCTCCAAACCCGCAGCCATGTTCAGCTGCCCGGCCCGAGTACCCATGTGGGCAAAGGCAGGCTGCTGCCACACCAAGGGGTCTCTGTGGCCCATGGCTGCGATTCCCACGGCAACAGAGCACGACCCTGAAAGCCACACCCCAGCTTTTACAGCTGTGAAACACTTGTGAACAAGTGCCGGCGACAGCTGTGGGTCGCATCTGTCCCTGGGGAGAAACGTGGCCGAGGGAGAGGATTCCTCAGCGGACGCGGCTGCTGGGCCAGGGACGCGGTCTAAGATGCGCCCTGGAGCACGCCGGTGTCCTACCTTGCCAGATGAGCTCTGCTTGTTTGGGTCAAACTGGGAGGAAGGTTTGGATTTGCTGTCACCTGGAAGGGAAGAGAGAAGAGAGGCTGATGACGCAGCAGGCTTGTAACTGGGCTGCAGGCTGTCCGTGCGGAGGCCTGTACAATGTAAGTCAATACACCACGGCCTGCTCACAGGTCCGTTCTCGGGGCGGGGCAAGCACTGGCTCTTCGCCCCATGGGGAGCCATGCTGTGCCAGATGAGGTCACAGTTAGGGACCTGGGCCTCAAGCACCCGTGTGGGCAGTGCCGTAGTGCTTCCTCTCCCTCCCACAGGGGGCGTTCCTTTGGAGGCTGTCATGGGGCCAGGGGGGCCACTGGCCACCCCTCCAAAGTACGTGGACTCTCCAGGCTAAGGGGCCACATAAGTCCATCTCACGGCATCAGGTGTGTGCAACAGAGGGAAGCTGTGGGTGATGGAGCCCGAGGTCTGAGCCAGGGCACTGCTGCCCGCGAGCTCCAGGCCAGGAGGCACAGGCCCCGGCCTGCGGCACTGCGGCCGCTCCAGCTCCCAGGCTGGCCACCTGCTGCTCTTACTTTCTCCCACCTCGCCAAGGGCCCTGGTTCTGTCCTCACCAGCAAAAGCCTTGAAGTCTGACTGGCTGTAGTCGTAAGGGGTGAAATCTTTTCCTGATGGGTCTGGGGCCTTCAGCTTCTTGGAAGTTCTGAGTCGTTTCTTCTCTTGTTTCTGTTCCGTGGTGCGGGGGTCACTTGTCGCCCGCTCTCGCTTCTTGGCAGCAGTTTCTAGCTGCAGAAGGAACGCAGCCAGGCATGAGGTGTGTGAGTGGGGGGGACGGGCTGAGCACCCCCGCCCATGCGCCTGCGCCACAAGTCCAGGTTTTGGATTGCGCAGTCCTGCACATGTACACGTGTATACGATTTATCTTGGGACAGGACCCAAACATAGACACAAAATTCATTTCTGCTTCGGTTACACCTTATACATGGTTTCAGCAGTTTTAATTAAACATCTTTAACACGGTTGTGCATGAAACCGTTTCATGGTGTGAAATTTTCCACCTGGGGCATGTATCAGTGCTCCAAACGTTTTGGATGTTGGAGAACTTCCCGATTAGCACTGTGATAGCTGGGGACGGGGCTGCCTGTGGGCCACGCGTGGAGTCAGGGCTGGCGAGGAGAGTGGGGCCGGGAGTCTGAGCGAGCTGGCAACCAGGACCAGCACTCCGACGGGGGCCAGCTGGGACAAGCATCTGACGGACAACGACACCAGGCCATTGACGAAAGGCAAGGGACAAGATTCCCACAGGGAATGAAGTGTTTGGGGTGAGGTGGGCCACACAGCAGGCTTAGTGCCCCAGCCACTCCTCGAGTCCAGTGGGCTGGCACAGGTACCTCCACCTGGGGCGGAACCATCCAAGGGGAACTGCAGCATCAACCTGCTGAGGGGCCTGGACGAGCCAAGGGGAGCTTGGAAGAGGGCGGCACGGGGTGTGAAGCAAGGGTCAGCCTTCCTCTGGGACTTGATGGGGGAATCTGCCCACAACCAGGGCAGCATTCGGCTTCTCCAAAGGAAAGACAGGCCAGCACGTACCGCAGCCTGCTGCCGCACGGAGATGGCCTGCTCCGCCGCGCCTTGGTTCTCTTCCTGTGTTTCCTGTGCCTGTTCCCGGGTGGCTGCAAGAGACGACCTGTCTGTGGAGTGGCGCAGCCCGCCCCGCCCCGGCGCGGCCTGTCCACAGGGGTCAGCACAGTTCTCCCCCATCTTCAAGGAGGAGGGCGCAGCCTGGGCACTCCTCTCATCTTCAGCTGCAACCTCACCTGACTTCCCGCCCTGCCTGTTCTCTCCTCTGAACCCCACGGCATATCCACGCACACCTGACTTCCGAGGAAGCTTCATTAAGACGACCATCACTGCAAGGACCAAACCAAAGCCTCGTCCCCTCCCACCGACGGCACCTCCATCCTCGGGGTGCTCAGGACAAAACCTCGCATCCTGAGCTCCTTCCCCCCTCCCCTGCGACATTCAACGCATCATCACAGCTCACCGGGCTCCTGCCCTTCCCTCCGTAACCTCCTCTTGACACAGCAGCCGCAGCGTCTCCTGGGCTCACGCCCCCTGAGGCCTCCCAACGCACTCGGAACACAAGGGAAAGCCCCCACGATGGGCCGACGGCTCTCCACCTCCCACCTCGTCTTCACCCTCGTGCTCAGCCCCAGGGCCCCTCGCTGCTCCCTGAGCCTGACCAGCAACCTCTGCTCCAGGCCCTTGGACTCACGACTGCTGCAGCCCCAGTCAGCGTCCTGGTGAGACGGCTTCCCTAACCCTGCCAGGAACAGCCACACTGCCCCCTCAGCCCAGGCACTCTCTCTGCCAGGACCTGCGGCGGACACGTCAGCCTTTACTGCCTTGCTATCGGCACACCCTCGGCAGAGGTGGCTCCTCAGGGCGGGACTGGGCGGGCACAGCTCCCTGCTGTCTGGCACTTTGCCGAACAGCGGAACAGACAGGACGGAATAGACAGACCGATGCGCAAAGTGCCGGAGTGAACAAGGAAGTGAGGGCTACCTGTTCGTTCAGCTGCCTTCTTCTCGGCAGTTTCCTTTGCATCTTTCTGTCCCTGTCCCTGGCTCGCCAGCTTCCAACGGTTGCTAATCTGCAATGAAAACAAATGTAACAAAACCGCACACGCAGCCACGAGCGGGGCCCAACGTTTTTAACGAGGTGACGCAGGGCACGCTAGCCTCAGAACATGGTCTGTCACGGGTCCCAAAGGACACAAAAAGCAAAACCTCACGCTGCCTTTGTTTATAGTTCTTATTAAGGACAAAGTGCGACTGCGCTGCAGGCACCGGGCGGGGCCTTCACAGCTGCCCTCCCGCTCAGTCCCTCCTGAGCCCGGCTGGGGCAACGGCTCTCTCCCGTGAGAAGCTGGCTCGGGCAGGCGAAGCAGCTGGCCGTCCAAGCAACACGGCTACTAAGGGTGGGCTGCTGCAGGCAGGACTTGCAGGACTGCCAGGTGTCTTTCTGACACGACATTCACCTGTGGCTCTGGAACACAACCGGAAGACCTGAGACAAACGCGGCAAGGCACGCACAGCTGTTCCACGTGCCACGCTCGGTGGGGTAAGGACTAAGCCCCCCCCCGACCCTCTGCTTCCAAAGTCCGCAGGCAAACCCTGGGCACATCAGGGTCTGCGCAAGGCCATAGCTGTGGGAGCCATCAGAGTGGACCCTCCCTGCAGGGAACACGGCAGCCTTTCAGCCACAGGGCCAGAAGTCATTCAATTTACAGTGCCGGCAGAAACACACCACACTGCAGAAAATGCAAGCCGTCACCTCCCAGAGCCTTAGGACACAGACGTGCGATGCGTCACTGTGTGCTTTACTGCGTGCAAACCAAACCCAACTGGAAAACAAACCAACACAGAACTGCTTCTTCAGTTTTGCAAATGTCTCTGAGAATCTGAAGATGCGGCCCCTCCCTAGAAACCAGAGCGCGTCTGTTCATCTTCAGGGGGTCTAGGCACTGAGGAAGCCCTTCCATCCAGGAGCCAGGCTAAAGCAGCAGCCTGTTCACGAGGCTAACTCCCCCTTTTTAGAACAGCACTCTTGGAAGAGGTGCCAAATCCACTTACTTCGTAGATTTTTGAGGATGGATCAAACTTTGCTGCCTGCGAGATGTGAGCCCGGTGCTCCAGCGAAGGCAGGAACTGGAGAAGAGAGAGGTCTGTGAGCATGGAGCCTGGATCACAGTCCGGGGCACCGTGTGAGGGCACTGTGGGTGGCAGCTCAGGAGGACCCAGCTCGGGGATTGCTGTCAAGCTACAAGGAGCTTATGCTACCGCCTGTGCTGCTGGCATCCCGCACTGGAGTGCCAATTGAGTTCCTGCTATTCCGCTCCTGATCCAGCTCCCTGCTAAGATGCCTGGGAAGGCGGCAGACTTGGGCCCCTGCTACCTATGTGAGAGACCCCGATTAGCTGCTGGCTCCTGGCTTCAGCCTGGCCCAGATCTGGCTGCGGTAGCCATTTGGGGAGTGAACCAGCAGATGAAAGCTCTCTTTCTGTCTTTCCCTCTGGCACTTTGCCTTTCAAATAAACAAATAAGGCTGTTAGGGACCTGGGTCACCTCCTGCTGCTTTCCCAGGTGCATCGGCAGGGAGCTGCGATATGGGACACTGGTGTTGTAAGCAGTGGCTTAACCCACGGCACCACCACCCTTGCCCAATAAGCAAATCTCTGGAAGCCCACAGCTCAGGCTCTTGACCTGAACTCCAGAGACACTGCACACACAGCACCCAGAGGCGTCCTCTCTCCAGACGACTAGCTGTCCAGGTGAAAGGCGCCTACGGGTACAGAAATCGCTGCTTGTTCTGCAGCCCTGTGCACACACCACGGCTTACCATCCTAAAGGGGTTTTCAAAGGACTCCATGATGTTCTGGGCTTTTTTCTGGGCGACGGTTAATGGACCCTTGCCATTTTCTTCAGCACTAGGTTCCTGTAGGGACAGACCAGAAACGACCACTTGTAACCGTGCTGGCTCTGTGACACCAGGAGGCAAGTACAAGAGTTAACAGCAATGCTGGCATGCGGCGCGCGCACAATCGAGCTGCTGCCTGAGACGCTGGTATCCCATCCCAGATGCCAGTTCCAGTCCCTGCTGCCCCGCATCTGATCCAGGTCCTTGCTAATGTGCCAGGGAAGGCAGGAGGTGGCCTCTGCCATCCAGGGGGACCCAGGTGCAGTTCCAGATACCTGGCTTTGGCCGGGTCCAGCCCAGCTTTTGCAGATATTTGGGGAGTGAAACAGCAGATGGGAACTCGACACTTCTCCCTCTCTGTCACCCTGCCTTTCCAATAAATAAAAATGGCTAGTTTTTCTTAAGCTCTCCTATTTATTAGGTCCTGCACCTGTAATAGCACCCAAGGAGTATCTGATCAACCATTCTCACTGTCTTACGACCTGGGAGGTACAGTCACATTATCCGCAAACGACTGGGAGACGGTTCTGAGAAATAGAGTGTCAGGCGATTCTGTTCCTGAAGGAACACTCTGCAGTGCACTCGCACAAACTCGGGGACTACGATGCCCCTGGGGGACACTCTTACAGGGCCCCTGTACGTGCAACCTGCTGTTGACAGGAGTCATCACACGGTGCACGACTGTCATGTGTGGGTTTAAAATATTTTGCACCAAAATAAACATCTTCTAATTCCACTCTTCCACAAACATTTTAAAGCACCCTTGTTGAGGCCGGCGCTGTGGCGCAGTGGATTAACGCCCTGGCCTGCAGTGCTGGCATCCCATATGGGCACCAGTTTGTGTCCAGCTGCTCCACTTGCGATCCAGCTCTCTGCTATGGCCTGGGAAAGCAGTAGAAGATGGCCCAAGTCCTTGGGCCCCTGCATCCATGTGGGAGACCCCGAGGAAGCTCCTGGTTTCAGATCGGCGCAGCTCTGGCCATTGCGGCCAATTGGGGAGTGAACCAGCGGATTGAAGACCTCTCTCTGTCTCTCCTCTTTCGAATAAATAAATCGTTTTTAAAAAAAGATTTATTTTATTTATTTGAAAGTTAGAGTTACACAGGAGAGGCACTGCACCCAGTAGTCACTCTGGTTGACTGAAGCTCGGCGTTTCCTCATGGACTGCTGAAACAAGTCAGCCTAAACGCAGTTAAAATGCGACTTGGGACACCCACATCCTATACTGGGGGGCCTGACTCAAGTCCCAGCTACCGCACACTTCTGCTTCAGCCGCCTGCTAACGCACAGCCTGAGTGGCAGCAGGAGGCAGCGTCAGCAGTGGGGTCCTTGCCACCACGTGGGACACCTGGACGGAGTTCTTGGCTGGCTTCAGCCAGGCCTAGCCCTGGCTGTTGTGGGCATCTGGGGAGTGAACTGGTGGACTAAAGATCTTTGTCTAGGGAACGGCGCTGTGGCGCAGCTGGTAAAGCCGCTGCATGCAGCGTCGGCATCCCAGTGGGCACCGGTCTTGGATGGTCTACTTCCAATCCAGTTCCTTGCTAATGCGCCTGGGAAAGTAGTGGAAGATGGTCCAAGTGCCTGGACCCCTGCACCCAGGTGGCAGACCTGGAAGAAGATCTTGGCTTCTGATCGGCCCAGCTCCAGCCACTGTGGCCATTTGGGGAGTAAACCAGTGGATCGAAGAGGTCTCTTTCTCTTTGACTCTGCCTCTCTGTAACTGCCTTTCAAATCAATCTTAAAAAAAAAATTTTCTTTCTGCCTTTCAAGTTGAATGAAAATAAGCAAGTCAACAAAAACATGAAAAAAGAAGACAGCTGCAGCCAGTGCTGCGGCTCAGTGGGTTATGCTGTCGCCCGAGACTCTGGTGTCCCATATGGGCGCTGGGTCGAGTTCCACAGCTCAGCTCCGATTCAGCTCCCTGCTAATGCACCTGGGAGAGCGGAAGATGGCCCAAGTGCCTGAGCCCCTCCCATCCATGATGGTGACCCAGACGAAGTCCCCGGCTCCTGGCTTTGGCCTGGCCTACCCCATGTTGTGGCCATTTGGTGAGTGAACCAGCAGACAGAAGATCTCTCTCTCTTCAAATAAATATTTTTTAGAAATAGTAGCTAGTTGTTAAAACTAACTAATAAGAAAGTGGAGTCCCAGGGCAGAGCTCTGCAGTCACCACTTGACCTCTGTGGGCTCTGGCCCAGTTCTGGCCCAGCGGGAGAGCCTCCGTCTGAACGCACCTCCCGCTCCTCTGCTCTGAGCCCTGGCCACGCCGGCTGCCGTCCCTACACCAGACCAAACGGGTTCTGGCTTCTCTCAGTTCTTTCTGAAAATGATGGCTTTTTCCTACCACACCTGCTGCTTGTGGTATTCCATTTTCTCTAAGTATTTTCCTTTTTCTTGTTTATTTCATTATTCAGCCATTCTGGCCAACAAATACATGCTGGTCTTCCTTTTACAAGGAGCCTGGAGTTCCAACTGCTGGCAGACACCAGGATGGCTCTGTCACAGTCACATGCAAGCTGCAGAAACATGGCCCAGCCCAAGCCAGTCTCAGGTCTGCACAATGGCGGTCACTGACTACGACAACCGTGACCGTGTCCCATGTCTTCCAGGGACAGGACACGTGGTTCTGCCCACTAGTGCTCAGCTGGCTCCTGGCTTTCTCTGTGAGCCATGGCACGGAAGACAGTTTCCAAAGGTCCTCCTCTTCAGCACCAGAGCATGAGAGGGTGTGGCTCAGCAGGAAGGGGTCTGTGAGCGCCTACTCCCCAGTGCGTCAGTGAGCGCTCACTCTACCCTGCCGCGGGTCTAGACGGAAGCGGCTGCTTCTCCAAGTTCTGCCTTTGTCACCTCAGGCCACACCTCCTCCCCCCAGGCCCCACACTCTGAGGGTCTCTTCACACACAGAGCTCCTGAGTCCCTGAAGCGCCTCCCCACAGCCCGCCTCCTCCAGCGCATCTGTCTCTGCCCCCCACGGTTGGGTTTTACTTCTTTATTGGTCTCAAAGTGTACGCAGCCCTCCGGCCACACACCCCGACCCAGCAACCCAGTGAGGCCCCCGAGTCTACACCTCAGTGAAGCTGCCACACTACTCACACTGAACAACGTGATGACAGCGGTAGCGATGAGGCACTGCGTATCCAGAGACGTCTCTTCTTTTTGGTCGGGGAAGAGGCTTGCCTCTTTCTGAACTGGCACAGACCCTGGAGGCATGGAAGTCAGCAAGGTCAAAGCCCAGTGGACGTTCCACAAGGCAGCGGGCCCCGCCTCCGCAGGGGAGTCCAGGGGCCTCGCCATTACCGTTGGCTGGGAGGACTGGGTGGCCATCTGGAGGGGCATGGGAGCAGTCATGCGGTCCAAAGAGAACATTCTCCAATGTCTGCATCAAAGGAAACCATCAGGCCCGGTGTGAAAGCTGCAGGCGCACCAGGGCTTTCTGCCAGCCCCCTCAGTGTGTGGGAGCCAGCTCGCCACCTCGCGCGCGGGGCAGGACAGGAGACTCTACCTCGGCAGCGGGCAGCGGGCCGCTCTTCCTCACTCCTGCGGCAGCTTCGGACTGCGGAGCGAAAACAGAGGCACGTGAGGCGGGCGCCTGCCGCGGGGACACCCACGCCCCTCCAGACCCCGGATTCCTGTGCTCTCAGCCCTTCCAGTGCCTGGCGCTCCAGTCATTCACAAACGACAGGACAGAGCTCTGTGCGGGGATGCGGCACAGCACAGAGGACCCCGGGAGCTTGAGGAAGCCCCTTCCCCGCCCCAGCTTCCTTGCGCTGCTCGGACAAGCGGCAGAGCGAAGCAAGCAGCTTTCTCGTCAACATTATAAAGCGCTTATTCTCAGAGAAACTGATTCTCAATGTTTCTGGGTCAGCAATCTTCCAAAACATGATTTCTATCACATGCTGACACTGCTGCTGAGTTGCGTATGCTAAACTGTCCTAATAAAATGCAAATCAAGAGGTAGATCTATTTTTAACAGGAAACATGAGCTACGTGCAGCCGCACCCCCACAGACGTGACACACCTGTGCTTCGTCTACACTTGTCTGAGCCTGACACCATCTCCCGCACAAAATCAGCTCTTTCTGAAACCCCGTTTCTATCCATTGTTCCCTATTTCCTGTCACCCAGGCTTTAAGTCCAGAGGCGTCTCTCACGCCATCTCCGTCACCCCAAATCCAGTTGCCACTCACATGACTCCCCCCAGTACTGGGTGCTCAAAAGCGCTGGGCAGCCCCTGGGCGTCTGTTAGGAAGGCCCATCCACTGTCTGCTTGGATGCTTGCAGACTTGCCCTGTCCGCGCCAGCCTGGGACCCTCACAGCTCCTCAGGTGCTCACTCTTCACATCCGGACTCTGCCGGCCTCTCAGAACCAGCGCCGTGTGCTGGGCCCCTCCATCTCATCTTGCCACAGAAACCGCTGCTGACCGACAGCTACTTGGTATGGCCATTACAGGTTACTTGCTGTTGGGTCAGCAGATGCAAGATTGAAGAATAAGAAGGGTGAGTTTTAACTCAAGACCATCACAAAGAGAAAGCAGCTAAAGTGAAAACCACATCCCACTGGATTGCCGAGACCCCCTTATTTCTTTAGGGTTGTTTAGAAGGGCGCTGCTGTACACAGGAGACCACGAAAACCACAGGAGGAAGGTGTCGGGAGAAAGAACAGCCCACTGAGCGGGGCAGCCCCTTAGCAGAGAGCTCTGTACCTTGAGCAGGGGCATCTCTCGGGCCTGTTGGACTAAAAGATGCATCTCGTTGATCTGCTGCCGTACAAGAGGTGGCACGGGGTTGCAGCAAGCTATGATGCCCTGCGGTTCCCTGAGGACAAGGACAAACACATAATTTATCAGACCTAGAGACACAGCCCTCAGAGGCTTCCAGATAGGGATAACCAACGGGCAGAACCGGGGGCCTCGGCCAAGCTGAAGGCTAAGGAAACAAGTTCATGTCCGGCTGGCCCAGACTAATCACGCTTCTGTGTGCTCTTGCCATGCCAGGCTCTCGGAGCCCAACTCCTGCACCCTGGGAAGAGCAAGAGGCAAGTCTCCCGGCACTGCTCATTCTCAAATCTGTGAATTTTGTTTCCTGTTTTGTTTCCTTCATTAACACCAGAAAGTGTTCAAAGTCAGGAGAGATGCTCTCCTTTGCAGGAAAGAACAGAAGAGAGTCTGCGACGTCTCCCCTTGTGGGCGGACGGCATGGCTCAGACTGCACTCCGCTCAGTGTGCTGCACTCAGCTCCAGCTCAGGGTTTGGTCCTCACACGGCAGCCCTGGGCAGAAGTTCTGGGTTCCTGCGCTTGCTCCCTGCCACGCTCAGAGCATTTATCTTCCCTGGGTAAACAGCCGTGGGGAACAGCCGTCAGAGAAACCTGCTCTGGGGGCCGGGGCACGCTAGCCGTGTTCAGACTCACTTGGGCAGTTCCTCAGCTATCTTCAGCATCATGTGGTTTGGCAGTACGTATCTGGAACAAAACACACCAGATCATCACGTCAGATTCAGCCAGAGCTTCTAGGAAACGCTCCGACGCAGGGGAAAACAAGCCTTGTCCATCGCTTCCTCGTACAGGGCCCGGTTCAGACGAGGTGTGGAGAATCTGGGTCCCTCACCCATAGCTTTCATCTTCCCGGCGAGCGGTTTTATCCCTCCAGGCAAACAGCAGCTGAAACGCCGTCAGCTGCTGCGTGTTCAGGTGCTTCTTTTGCTTCCTATACAGTTCAAGGTAGGACTCGTCGGTGAAGATCGGCTTGATGAATTTCTGCAGAGTGTTACAGGACAGGCAAGACCAGTGGGAATTAAGAGTGTGCCCCAGGCGCTTCAAGACGCTGGGCTCCGTCATCAACGTACAGAGCAAACCTAAGAACCAGGGGCTGATCAGCACGTGGGAGCAGGCCTGCGGCAAGCCGTACCTTGAGGCAGAGGTCCCTGCTGCGCTGCCACACCACCTGCAGCTGCGTGGGCTGCTCGTTGCCGCGCTCCCACAGCTCCAGCCGCATGCGGTCATAGATGTAGAGCAGGTAGTGGGTGTCATCCCGGGCGTAGCTGAGCATCTCCTCGGGCAGAGGGCTGGGGACGCAACAGAGGACGTGGCTTCACGGACTGCCCCCAATGACAGCAACTCAAGTGTGTACCTGGTGGCTGCCAGGACTACCTTGGACCCTTTTCACATCAAAGATGTTTTCCCAGCCAACACTGACGATGGTAACATCACCACGCCTGGCATTTGTCCTCTTACACGGTTAGAAATGAGGGCACTGTGGCTCTGGGTGTCTGTCCCTGGACAAGTGCCTTCTCTCTCACCAGAGAAACGGGCACAGGCACCCACGTGCTGCCGTGAGGATTACCCAGGACACCAGCTCTGCAGCACCCAGTGCTCAGTAAGGAAGTGGTTTTGGGGGTTTTCAGTTTTCACCTTCTGTTTGACTTTAGTAGTCCAAATACACTTTTGTTTTGATAAAGACTGCGGCAGATAGAACTGGAGAGACGTGCAGGGCATCTGCCCATGATAGCTACAGCCTCAGCGAGGCAGTGCCGTCTACACACGACTGCCCAGAACCAGGCTGCCACAACCTGACACAACACTGAACGTGTTACAGACCAACTGTGCACCCTAGGAAGCTGTCTCAAGGCGCGTACAACCATCCCTGGGTGGGAGACCCGGGATGCAGAGGGCAGACTGCTGGAGGCCGACAGGGCACAGTCTCACAGAACTGGCCCACATGAACTCCACGTTAGCAATTTCCTGCTGCCTTTATGCTCTGAAAACACCGGCAGAAAAGCCTGAATGCAGGTCTCCGCGCTGAGGCTGAGAGCAAACACACCCTCTTCTCCCTACACGTTGGGCAAGAGCAGACTGACCGTATCCTCCAGTCGGCCAGCTGGTACTGCTTGTCCGAGTCCACGCTGCAGTAGAGTTTCAGCAGGTGATCCAGGGAGTGCCTGCCCAGGTTCAGAAGGCGCGCTGCCTGGTGGGTGTCAAACATGTTCACGACGTACAACCCGAAGTCCTTCTGCAGCCATTCGATGTCGGAGTCAGCACCGTGGAAGACCTGAAAACAAACCCAGGGTCCTGGCACAGAGACACTCTTGCTCTGAAGTTAACTGTGCCTTTAGGTTACTACACATTGAAATGTGACACCAACATGAAAATTAAGATGTGGTTTTAAACGTGCCTTTAAAACAATTTTTTAAAAAAAGATGTATCTATTTATTTATTTGAAAGGCAGAGTTACTGAGAGAGAGGGAGAGGCAGACAGAGAGAGATCTTCCACTACTGGTTCACCCCCCAGATGGCTATAACAGCCAGGGCTGGGCCAGACTGAAGCCAGGAGCCAGGAGCTTCTCCCAGATCTTGGCCATGGGTGCAGGGTCAAGCACTTGGGCCATTTTTTGCTGCTTTTTCCCAGGCGCATTAGCAGGGAGCTGGATCGGAAGTGGAGCAGGCAGGACATGAAACAGCGCCCATTCGGGATGCCGGTGCTGCAGGCAGCAGTTCAACTCGCTGTGCCGCAGTGCCAGCCCCCGGCCTTCTTTTATGCTGTCTGAAACTGTTATCAGCCAATGATATAAGAAAACAATTCTATTAGCTAAAAGTATATTAAGTCCAAACTATCTTGAAGGCATTAGCATGTTGCAGGAGTCAATAAAATGAACTCACATTTTTTTGGTTGGTAACGAGCTTTGCCTTAGCTGTTCTAAAAGAAACAAAATCAGTTTAGCCTGTGACACCACGGTAAGGGAAATGACAGGATTCCCTCCAGTTCACTGGTTTTCACTGCAAGAATCAAAGAGATCACGGAGGGGCTGGTATTGTGGTGCAGCAGGGTAAGCCACCGCCAGGGACACCAACATTGCACAGGAGCGCAGATTCCAGTCTGCTGCTCCACTTCCGACCCCGCTCCCTGCCATGTACCAGGGAAAACACAAGAAGGCTTTGGCTTGGCTCAGCCCTGGCTGTGGCAGCCATTTGGGGAATGAACCAGTGGACAGAGGATCGAACTCTCCTCTATCTCTCCCTCTTTGTAACCCTGCTTTTCAAATAAATAAAATAAATATTTACAAAAAAAAAAAAAAAAAAAAGGTACTGAAAACTGAAAGGGCTGGCTGACCTTGACGATGGTAGGGTTGGTGAGGCTCTCGTTGAGAAGGTACATTTCGCTGCGAAGCTCCAGGGTGTCGATGATGAAGTCTTCCGTTCGTGTGGAGACCTGCATCAGGCAGGTCAGCCCCAGGAAGCTCCTGTAGGAGTGGTGCTGAATCACACAGACAGGGACAACAGGAAAAGAAACCCATCTTAATCTCAGTAGGTTTTCCTTTGCCTATTTTGTAAATCGAAGTCCTATGAAAATCATCACTGAATTCATGGAAAATTTAAAAATTTCATTCATTGTCATTACAAGATACCTCTAAGTCCACAGCAAATTCTTGACAATTCAACAGCTTTTCGTTGAGTTCCACGAGTTTGTCCAGGGAGGATATGAAATGGCAGGGTGTCTCGTGCACTGGTCGGTACAACTAGACCAAGAAAGCACCGTGAGAAGCAGGAAGGGATATCAAAGATCTTCCTCCACTAAAGTAAACAACACCAAGGTCAATGCCCTGAAGTCACAACCTTCACTCTAAAGATGTCTAAGAAAGGTCAACATTACAATCAATCTACTCGTTGGATTCCCTCTGGACTACCCAGACACTGCCCTAAATTAAGGTTGGCACTAACCTGGGGTTGTGGCTTTTGAAGCACTGAGTCTGGTGGAGAAAAGTGATCCAGTTCATACTGATAAGGATGTGCAAACCTGAATAAACAAACACAAAAGAGAAACCTTTTTCATTAATTTCATGATTCAAAGGAAAGATTGCTTTTATTCAATTTGTAAAAACAAGTGAAACAAGACCACGGTGAAAATAACTTCCCTTTATAAAGCTTATCAAATAAACCAGCTGATATTTGTTTGAAACTCACTTAGAGAGAGAAGGAGGCAGACAGAGAGAAAGATCTTCCATCGGCTGGTTCATTCCCCAAATGGTTGTGATGGCCAAGGCTGGACCAGGCCAAAGCTAGGAGTCAGGAGCTTTATCCATGTGGGTACAGGAGCCCAAGCACTTGGGTCATCTTTGACTGCTTTCCGAGGCACATTAGCAGTGAGGAGGATTGGAAGCAGAATTGCCAGGACTCCAACTGGCGCCCACAGGGGATGCTGGTATTGCAGGCAGCATCTTAACCTGTGACGCCTCAATACCAGCCCCCAAAGAAACCTATTAAGGAGCAGGAATCTGGCCTAGCAATTAAGATGCTGCTTGGGATACCTGCAGCCCAAATCTGAGTGCCTGAGTTTTGAGTCCTGGCTCTAATTTATTTATTTATTTAGACAGGCAGAGTGGACAGTGAGAGAGAGAGACAGAGAGAAAGGTCTTCCTTTGCCGTTAGTTCGCCCTCCAATGGCCGCTGCGGCCAGTGCACTGCGCTGATCCTAAGTCAGGAGCCAGGTACTTCTCCTGGTCTCCCATGGGGTGCAGGGCCCAAGGACTCAGGCCATCCTCCACTGCACTCCCGGGCCACAGCAGAGAGCTGGCCTGGAAGAGGGGCAACTGGGACAGAATCCGGTGCCCCGACCGGGACTAGAACCCAGTGTGCCGGCGCCACAGGCAGAGGATTAGCCTGTTGAGCTGTGGCGCAGGCCCCTGGCTCTAATTTCAATTCTACTTTCCTGCTAATATGTACCCCGTGAGACAAGCAGTGATGGCCCAAGTGGTTGGGTCCCTGCCACCTATATTGAGTTCTCAGCTCCTGGTATTGGCCCTACTCAGCTTTGGCTATTGTGTGCATCTGGGGACAGAACCTGCCTGCCTCTCTCCCCATCTCACTGCCTTTCAAAAAAAAAAAAAAAAAAAAAAGACAAACCAGAAACTCAAAAACAGTAATTTTTGAAAAAAGAATTCAGGGCTGGTGTTGTTGCACAGTGGGTTAAACAGCTGCCTGCACTGCTGGCAAACCACATGGGTACCGGTTTGACTCCCAGCTGCTCTGCTCCCGATCCAACTCCCTATTAATGTGCCTGGGAAAGCAGTGGAGGATGGTCCAAGTACCTGGGCCCCTGCCATGCACGGCAGACCAGAAGGAATTCCAAGCTTCTGGCTTTGGCCACTGTGGATCATTTGGGGAGTGAACAAGTGGACAGAAGATTTCTCTTTCTCTGTGTCTCTCCCTGTTTCTCTCTGCCTTTCAAATACATAAATCTTTTTTTTAAAAATTGATGTTTTGACAACTGTTGACTTTTTGAAAGTCTGCATTTATTTAATTCATTTTGGAGGCAGGCAGGCAGAGAGAGCTCTAATCTTCTAGTTTACTCCCCAGTGCCTAGGAGCTGGGAACTCAATCCACGTCTCTCATGTGGGTGGCAGAGACCCAAGTACTCAACCACCACCTGTTGCCTCACAAGGATGTGCACCAGCGGGAAGCTGGAATCTGGAATGCAGCTGTGACTAGAACCCAGGCACTTCAATCTCAACTGCTGGGCCAAACCTCTGCACCTCTAATTTTGCTCTGACATCTGTAAAATGGGAACAAGGGCAAATGGACTGCTGAGGGTTAAAAGACACAGTGCTGGGCATGTCCCCGTGAACACTGTCGAGGTGAGACCCACCTGCTGTCTTGGACACATTTTACAAAGGGGGAGAGTGAAGACGTGGCCTGGGGGCAGGCAGTCACCGCAGGGAGCTCAGACGCGGGCACTTACATGTCCTGCTCAACCTGCTGGGTCCTCTGCTGATGGATGAAGTCGGCCAGGGCAGGGGGCACGTCCAAGTCCTCGGGGCGATCCTGTGGGCGTTCCCGCCTTTCTTTAGAGAGAGCTGGAGACCCGGGAGGTGACAAGTTAGCGCTTTCTGGTCGTGAAGGGGCTGAGCGGCTCATTTTAAAGAAAGAAGGAGGCAGAGACCCTTCCCCTTCCCCGTCGGACTGAAAGGAAGCCCCCGTACTGCAGAGTTCGGCGCTGCTTACCCCGCGGGAGGGGTTTTTGAGCGTTGGGCTTGACGAAGATTTTCGGGAGAAACGGTGTGTTGGAATTGTCAATCTTCTCTCGAAACCTGAGTTGAGGTCGGATGATGTTTTTCGCATGAAGCAGTCGGAAGGTTTCAGATTTTGCTTTTTTGCCATATTCTCCTGCCTAAGACCAACACATGCAAATATTCTAACACAGCAACTTGATGAATTAGATAATTAAATTCCAATTTATGCGTGCCAAGGACATAAAAACACTGCAAAGCCATTCATTTGCATTTAAGAATGCATGAGGGCAGGCCAATGTAGGCATCCTGTATGGATGCTGGATCAAGTCCTGGCTGTTCCACTTCTGATCCACCTCACTGCTAATGGCCTGGGAAGGCAGCAAAAGATGGTCCACGAGCTCAGGCCGCTGCACCCACATGGGAGACCCAGATGAAGCTCCTGGCACAGACATGGCTGTAGTAGCCACTTGTGGAGTGAACCAGCACACGGAAGATCTCTGTCTCTCCTTCCCTCTCCCTTTCAATAAATAAAATAAATCTTTAAAAAAAAAAAAAACAAAACATGATATGTCTGTGTGAGACCAGAGATTACAAAGTAAAGAAGAGGGTAGTCAGGTTGTGTGTTTATGAGAGTAAGTTGGAATAGTCCTGTGGCCAAAAAGCTGAACAAAACCACAAATCAGAACAGGCAAAAGCCCTGCTGCACACCGACACGGAGGGCCTCAGTGCGCGCTGAGAACGAGACTCACCTTCCGGTTCCAGCTGGACACAATTGTCTTGGGGACCTGCAGTCCTGCAGGAAGGACCGGCTGCTGATTCTTATTCACGCCTGACGCCTCGTCCAGTAAAATCCCCTAAGAGTAGAGAGGTATTTTCAATAGCTCCCTTTCAAGGTTAACCCAGCTTTAAGAAACATTCTCAGAGAATTACGTATAGAGAATATATGCCTGAGAGTAGATCAATTCAATGCATTTATCCAAATACCACGTTGTGGGGTGGGAACTGTGCTGGAGGGCCTGGAGCCGAGTCCCAGCTCCACTTCCAGTGCCGCTTCCTGCTAACGGCCACCCTGGGACACAGCAGCTGATGGTTCACACACTTGGGTCCCGGTCACCCACGCTGGAAACACAAATGGAGTTCCTGGCTCTGGGACCTTGCATCCACTGATTCATCCCCAAATGCCCATGGCTGCTGTGGCATCCGGGTGTGAACCAGCAGGTGGAAGACCTCTCTCTCCTTCCTCTGCCATTCTCCCCTTCAAGTGAACAAATATAATCTTTAAAAAATACACCATGGCACATACCATAAATATATGCCATTTTTATTACTTAATTTAAAAACCGCTTAAGAATTTAGAAACAGATCGACTCAACGTGGAAGACGGACTGAGGGAGTCATGCCGGAAGGCATTAGTTTGGCCAAGGACAGGCAGTGCAGTGATCACCCACTGTCAGCTCCGGATTGTGCTGGAAACTCAGACGTGACTTAGCAGCGCGTGGCCCGATGGCGCCCATCACACACAGACAGTGAGCTCCAGAATGAGCACGGTGGTTCTCAGCTACCTGCACCACCAAGCAGGTGTGCGACAGCACTCTGGGCACCGCTCACAGGAGCGCACCCAGGAGACAGGTGGCAGCACGGCAGGACTCAAAATCAGAAAATAGGGAGGAGCCACTCAAAGACCCGTGTGCATTTACAGCAGGGAAGAGATGACTTCAAGTACAGGAGAGCGGGAGTTAACAACTCTAGGGACGTCACGTGGCTGAGGGCTGGATGTGTTTTGGAGGACCACTGTTGTGTTTCTATAATATTCTGCTGAAAAATTAGGCATATAGAGTGAGTTAGGAAAATACAAATTTCCTTTCAAACCTGCAGGTTGGGATATTTATTAGCTTTTGAAAAACAGCAAAAATGGACAAAATTTTGATTGGGTTGATATAAAGGTCTCTCAATAGGATCTGCAAATGTGGAATGAATGCAGATTTTTAACAAGGCATTTTATTTATTTATTTAAAGATTTATTTATTTGAAAGACAGAGCTACAGAGAGAGGTAGAAAAAGAGAAAGAGGTCTTTCATCCACTGGCTCACTCCTCCGATGGCTGCAATGGCCGGAGCTGCGCTGATCCGAAGCCAGGAGCCAGGGGCTTCTTCCGGGTCTCCCACATGGGTGAAGGGGCCCAAGAACTTGGGCCATCCTCCACTGCTTTCCCAGGCCATAGCAGGGAGCTGGATAGGAAGAGGAGCAGCTGGGACTAGAACCGGCACCCATATGGGATGCTGGCGCTTCAGGCCAGGGCTTTAATCTGCTGTGCCACAGCGCTGGCCCCTATTTGTTTATTTTTTAAAGATATAATTATTTATCTGAAATGCACAGAGAGAATTGATCCTCTATACACTGGCCCACTCCCCAAATGCCTAAAAAAGCCAGGGCTGCGCCAACTGAAGTCAAGAGCCAGAAACTCAGTCCAAGTCTCCGCCGTGGGAGGCAGGAACCTAAGCCCTTGGGCCATTCATTCCTGGTCTCCGAGGCACATTGCACACTAGTAGAAAGGTGGATTGAAGTGTGGAGTTGCCAGGACTTGAACTAGGCACTCGGATACAGGATGCGGGGGCCTTAAGCAGTGGCCGAACCCACTAGGCACCAAAATGCCTACCACTATTAAGGCATTTCAAAAATACTATTTTGGTGCCAGTGCTACGGTGTAGTGGGTAACAGCTGCCGCCTGATCGAGCTCTCTGCTATGGCCTGGGAAAGCAGTATAAGATGGCCCAAGTCCTTGGGACCCTGTACCTATGTGGGAAACCCAAAAGAAGCTCCTGGCTTCGGATCGGCACAGCTCCGGCTGTAGCAGCCAATTGGGGAGTAAACCAGTGGATGGAAGATATCTCTCTCTCTTCTTCTCTCTGTTAATTCTGACTTTCAAATAAATAAATAAATCCTTAAACAAAAAAAAATACTATTTCTGAGCAGGCACTGTGTCCCTGGCTTGGGATGCCCACATTCCGAATAGGAGTGTCAGTTTGAGTTCTGGCTCCTCTGCTTCGAATCCAGCATTTTTGTTAATGCACACCCTGGGGGGCAGTAGATGATGGCGCAAGTGCTTGGGGCCCTGCCACCTATGTGGAAGACCTGAATCAAGTTTCAGGCTCCAGCCTTTGGCCTGGCCCAGCTCCGGCTGGTGCAGGCATTTGGGGAGTGAGCCAGTGGATGTAAGACCTCTCTTTCTCTACTGCTCAGCCTTTCAAGTAGATGAAAATAAGTCAATCAACAGAATCAGAATTTCACAGGGCAGCGACGTTTTGAAGACAATAGCAGTTTCTTTGGAGACAAACTATACTAACCGTCAGAAGGGAATGTCATCGCTGGTAAGCACTATTGAACATTCTTTTCTTTTTCCAAGGTGCTCGGGTTGCTATTTGCATTTTTTTAGTACGAAAGTTCTCTTTGTTAGTTATCATCGACGCAAGCTGAACAACTCACCACTCTCTCCAGAATCACATCATTGGCATCAACTAGTAAATCAAACTTGTCTTCCAGTTCGGTCACCTTACTCCGGTCCTTAATACTGCTGCGACAGCCGTGGTACTGCATTACCCTGCTCATGCTAAGGAAAGGAAAACAAAGTTTGCTTACTCTTATTTGTTCAGAATCTGGGAGAACACTCCCGTGGCTCAGACTATTTTTAATCAAACTAGTAGAACTTGCACAGTTTACAGCAACCTCTATTTTTTAAAAATTTTTAAAGATAGTTACAGAGAGAGGTAGAGACAGAGAGAGGTCTTCCATCTGCTGTTTCACTCCCCAGATGGCTGCAACGGCCGGAGCTGCACCAATCCGAAGCCAGGAGCCAGGAGCTTCTTCCAGGTCTCCCACGCTGGTGCAGGGGCCCAAGGACTTGGGCCATCTTGTACTGCTTTCCCAGGCCATAGCAGGGAGCTGGATCGGAAGAGGAGCAGCTGGGACTAGAACCGGCGGCCACATGGGATGCTGGTGCTTAAAGCCAGGGCTTTAACCTGCTGTGCCACAGCTCCAGCCACTACAGCAACCTTTAAAAAATACTGCGAGGACCCGTGCTGTGGTGAAGGTTAAGCCTCCACCTGTGGCGCTGGCACCCATATGAGTGCCTGTTCGAGTCCCAGCTGCTCCATTTCCGATCCAGCTCCCTGCTGACAGCCTTAGAAAGCAGCAGAAGATGGCCCAAGTACTTGGCTCCTGCATGCGTGTGGGAGACCTGGAAGAAGCTCCTGGCTCCTGGCTTCAGCCTGGCTCAGCCCTGGCTGTTGCAGCCACTTGGGAAGTGAACCAGCATCTCTCTCTCTCTCTCTCTCTCCCTCTCTCCCTCCCTCCCTCCCTCCCCCTCCGTGTCTGTAACTCTGCCTGTCAAATAAATCTTTAAAAAAAAAAATAATGTAAGATGTGTAGCTGTGGTCAGTTCACTAAATCTTGTTAAGACTTCCCTCAGCTGTTAACTGAAAACGTGAGTGAAATTACCCCAAAGCTTCCTTTAAATTTAAAAAACATATGACACTATGTAAATAATGTATAGCGCATTAATGGCTTTACATGGCAAATCTGAAAGGGTTTCTCAGAGCTGGCACTGTGGGTGAAGCCACTGCCTCTGATGTTGGCATCCCATACAGGTGCTGGTTCAAACCCTGGCTGCGCTACTTCTGATCCAGTTTCCTGCTAATGCACTTGGGAAAGAGCATGGCCCAAGTGACTGGGCCCCTGAGCCCACACGGGAGACCTGGAAGATCCTCCTGGCTCCTGGCTTTGGACTGGCTCAGCTCCAGCTGTTGCTGCCATTTGGAGAGTGGACTACTGGATGGAAGACTTCTCTGTCTCTCCCTCTCTAACTCTGACTTTCAAATAAATAAATATCTTAAAAAAAAGTCTCTAATTTGGTCAGGCAAGATTGATGTTTATGTTTTATCTCTCCTAATACATTTGTTAGAAAGTTAATACCTGTGACTCTGCAAGTCATGTGAGAGAATACTGCACCTAAGTTTTAAGTCTCATATTAATTCAAAAGATTTGCTGTGACCAGTATTGTGATGCAGTGGGATAAGCCATTGCCTGCAACTCTGGCAACCCACATAAGCACCCATGCAAGTCCCAACCCCTCCACTTCCAATCCAGCTCCCTGCTAACACACCTGGGAAAGCAACGCAAGATGGCCCAAGTGGTTGGATCCCTGTTCCCAGGTGGGAGACCCGAATGGAGTTCCATGCTCCTGGCTTTGGCCTGGCCTATCCTTGGTTGCTGCGGTCATTTGGAGAAGGAACCAGCAGATGGAAGATCTCTCTCTCTCTGCCTCTCCATCTCTTTGTAACTGTTCTCAAATAAATAATTTTTTTTCTTTTAAAAGATTTATTTATTTTACTTAAAAGTCACAGTTACACAGAGAGAGGAGAGGCAGAGAGGCAGAGAGGCGGAGAGAGAGAGAGAGATCTTCCATCCACTGGTTCACTCCGATGGCTGCAACGGCCGGAGCTGTGCTGATCCAAAGCCAGGATCAGGAGCTTCTTCCAGGTCTCCCACGTGGGTGCAGAAGCCCAAGGACTTGGGCCATCTTCTACTGCTTTCCCAGGCCATACCAGAGAGTTGGGTTGGAAGTGGAGCAGCCAGGACTTGAACCGTCGCCCAAATGGGATGCTGGCACCACAGGCGGCAGCTTTACCCCACAGTGCCCGCCCTCAAATAAATAAATCTTAAAAAAATTACTGCCTATTGATAAAACAATCCATCGATATCTATCTTTTTAAAATATTTATTTTGGAACTGGTGCTATGGTGTAGCGCGTAAAGCTGCCATCTGCAGTGCCGGCATCCCATATGGGCGCTGGTTCGAGTCCTGCCACTCCACTTCTGATCCAGCTCTCTGCTGTGGCCTGGGAAAGCAGCAGAAGATGACCCAAGTCCTTGGGCCCCTGCACCCACGTGGGAGACCCAGAAGAAGCTCCTGGTTCCTGATCATCCTAGCTCTGGCTGTTGCAGCCAATTAGGGAGTGAACCAGAGGATGGAAGACCTCTCTCTCTCTGCCACTGTCTCTCTGTAACTGCCTTTCAAATAAATAAATATCTTTTTTTAAAAAAGATTTTTTATTTATTCATTTGAGTGGTAGAGTTACAGAAAGTGAGAAGGATATACAGAGAGAAAGGTCTTCCTTCCGTTGGTCCACTCCCCAAATGGCTGCAATGGCCGGAGTTGCACCAATCTGAAGCCAGGAGCCAGGTGATTCTTCCCGGTCTCCCACACAGGTGCAGGGGCCCAAGGACTCGGGCCATTTTCCACCGCTTTCCCAGGCCATAGCAGAGAGCTAGACGGGAAGAGGAGCAGCCGGGACTAAAACCGGAGCCCACATGGGATGCCGGCGCCACAGGCAGAGGATTAACCTACTGTGCCATGGCGCCGGCCCCAATAAATATATCTTAAAAAATATATTTATCTGAAAGGCAGAGAGAGAGAGAAAGAGAGAGAGAGAGAGAAGAGACAGAGATCTCCCATCCATTGGTTCATTCCCCAGTGGCTTCAATGGTCAGAGTAGGGCCAAGCTGAAGCCAGGAGCCTGAAACTCCATCAGGAATTTATTTTAAAATAAATCTTTAAGAAAAATTTTTAGCCGGCGCCGCGGCTCACTAGGCTAATCCTCCGCCTAGCGGCGCCGGCACACCGGGTCTAGTCCCGGTCGGGGAGCCGGATTCTGTCCCGGTTGCCCCTCTTCCAGGCCAGCTCTCTGCTGTGGCCAGGGAGTGCAGTGGAGGATGGCCCAAGTGCTTGGGCCCTGCACCCCATGGGAGACCAGGAGAAGCACCTGGCTCCTGCCTTTGGATCAGCGCGGTGTGCCGGCCGCAGCGCGCCAGCCGCGGCGGCCATTGGAGGGTGAACCAACGGCAAAAAGCAAGACCTTTCTCTCTGTCTCTGTCTCTCTCTCTCTCTCACTGTCCACTCTGCCTGTAAAAAAATAAAAAAAATAAATAAATAAAATAAAATATAAAAAAAAATTTTTTTTTTAAACCAAGTAGCGTTTACTGGTTCACTCCCCAAATGGCAGCAATGGCCAGGGCGGGATCAGACCAAAACAGGGGCTTCTTCTGGGTCTCCCACATGGGTGCAGGGGCCTAAGGACTTGAGCCATCTTCCATTGCTTTCCCAGGCACATTAGCAGGGAGCTGGATTGGAAGTAGAGCAGCCAGGTTTTGAGTGGCACCCATCTGAGATGCCCGTGTCACCTGCGGAGGCCTAACCTGCTACTCCACCACGCTGGCCCCACTGTCTTATCTTCCAATCTTCTATCTTAGAAAAACAAATTTCAAAAATAGTATCTACCTATTTGTGTTCATTTATTTCATTAACACAAGGAGACAACATGTGTATAGTACATACCAGTGAAGTAGCCGGTCTCCCTGTGTTTCACAAAATGCCTGGAAGCCGGGAAAACTTCGGTAAAAATCATACTCATCGCCAAACTGGGGCAGGCCTGCAGACGCCTTGGTGACGGCCACCACCGACGCGAGAGCAAACTGTCAAAACCAGAGAAGTCAGGTTCACACGGATCCCTGGCCATTCAGCAAATCAAAGGCCTCCTATTAACACACTATGCTGGACACTGACAATATGCAGTCTTCATCCACCCAAAGAGCATTTCGTGTAGCTGTCTCCAAGCCCTGTTCTAGACCGTGAAAATACAGTGAGGAACACAGAACCAGAGGGGGCACGGATAAAGCTGCGTTTGAATCTTGGCTCTGCCAACGGTAACCTGTGATCCTGGGCAGGTTACCTACTTGGGCCTTAGTTTCTTCGCGTGATAAACGGGCACAGTGAGAAGTGCCTACTCCACCGAGCTGTGAGAATTAAATGAGCTAATGAGGTCACTTACGACAGTGCCGGTGCGTAAGCGCTATTCCTACAGGTTCAGCGCCATGAGCTCTCTACAGGAGTTTCCCGTATTTTGTTTTCATCTTGATAAGTCTGGAAACAACGGTAGCATCTTCCACACAGGTCGCCTACTACCCACGACTGAACTGTTTATGGTTGTTAGTGCCAGGCAGTTCTAATTTTTTTTTTTTTTTAATTTTATTTGAGAAGGGGGTGAAGAACACGCACAAACGCATTCCCACCTGCTCTCAATCCAGGTCTCCCACGTGGACAGCAGGAACTCAGTGACCTGAGCCATCGCCACTGCCTCCCAGGGCCTGCACTGGCAGAGGGCTGGAGCCAGGAACTCAACCTGGACCCAGGCACTCGGAGAGAGAGATCTCCTGTGTGCTGGTCTGCTCCCCAAATGTCGGCACCAGCCAGGGCTGGGTGAGCGCAAGGCCTCCACGCAGGTCCCACATGCGGCGGCAGGGACCCCGGCCATCATCAGCTGCAGCAGGCTGGGTGGAGGTGCTGGGACCGGCGCTGCCACATGGGATGCCGGCGACCCAAGGGGCAGCCCAGTCGGCTGTGTATTAATGCCAGTCCCCGACTCTCCATTTTTATTGTTGCAACGAGAAAAAAAAACAGAAGTGGCTACCACAGACCAACGATGCTGGAACAGGAGACACCCAAACACCATGGCTGTGGGTCGTGTGAATAAACACTTCTCAAGAGCAAGTGGGGGAAGCTGAGTCGTGGCGGGGGGCCGGGCAGCCTGAGCGCACGAAGGCCTCAGAATCAGGGCCGCAGCGAGCCACATCGGTCACCAGGGCGCTGCTAACGGCACCGGCACCGGGCGAGCGGGGCTTCGCAGGGTCTGCAGTGCAGGGGCCGCGCACCAGGCGTGAAGCCGGTTTCACGCTCGTCCACACAGACGAACCCCGCGATCCTAAAGGAGGCGCTGACTGCTGTGCGAGGCAGTGAGGGGAGCGCGCCCGGCTGGCAGCTTTAACAGGTGCCATTTAAGCCGGGTCTGGGGTTACGCAGCACGAGCCCTCACGCAGGGCCGGGGGCTTCGGGGCCCACCCGGGCTCGGGGAGGGGCGGCCGGGGGCTTCGGCGGGAGCGAGGTCGCGAGATCTGGGTCATCTGGGTGACAGGGAAGCCCACTCCCAGGACGCGGAGTCGGCCCTCCAACACGCGAGTTCGCGTCCGGGCCCCATCCCCGCAAAGGATCCCCTCGCCCGGGCTCTGAGGCGGCGCGCGGCATCCCCCGACGGCTTGGGCCGGCCCAAAGGGCCGCGGACTCACCTTCACGAAGCTGTCCGCGTCGGGGAAGCCGGGCAGCACCATCTCGCCGCTCGTGCTGGTCGCCGACGGGGCCTTGGGCTCCCGGGGACTGGGAGGCGCCATGTTTGCGGCCTGCCCGGCTCGTCTCGCGAGAGTGTCTCCGCCGACGCGACGCGCGCGCACTGCGCATGTGCAGAGGCCGCCGGCGCAGCCTTCCCGCCGGAGGCGGCCTGCGGGCGTGCGGCGGGTGTGGCAGCCGGGCGGGACCCTCAAGTTCTTTGTATCATCCTAATAGCCCTGGGAGCCAGGGTCGGACCCGGGCCGACTTGTAGTCCTACTAGGCCAGCTCCTGCCAGGCCGGGGCTCGGGGTCCCTCGCCCGCTCGATCTGGGCTCCTCCATTCCGCTGTATTTTCCCTTTGGCTTCATTCCCTACACACACGCGGACATCCTCTCGGTGAAAGGGGGAGAAAACCCGCCTCGCCCCCCATCTTCCAGCCACCTCGCACCTCCCTCGCCCTTCACGGGTAGGCTGGGCACGCCCGCGTGCCCGCTCACCGCCGGCGGGCACGTTAACGCCCGGGCGGACCATCCCCCATTGCTTTCCCAGGCAACATTAGCAGGGGGAAGTGGGGCAGCCAGGACTCGAACCAGCATCCGTATGGGATGCGGGCGCCACGGGCAGTGGCTTACCCATAAATCGATTTTTGGGGCCAGCACTGTGGCATAGTGGGTTAAAGTGCAGCCTGCGGCGCAGGCATCCCACATGGTTGCTGGTTCGAGTCTCGGCTGCGCCACTTCCAATCCAGCTCCCTGCTAATGCTCCCGGAAAAAGCAGCAGGTCCCGGGCCCAGGTCCCTGGCTTCTACCACCCACATGGGAGACCCAGAAGAAGCTCCTGGCTCCTGGCTTTGGCCTGGCCTGGCCCGGCCCGGCCCAGGTTGTTGTGGCCATTTGGGGAGCGAACAGTGGTTAGAAGATCTCTGTCTCTCCTTCTGTCACTCTGCCTTTCAAATAAATCAACAAATCTTTTTTTTTTTTTTAAAGAGTGACAGAGAAGGGGGCCAGAGCCTGATCTTTCATCTGCTGACTGATACCCAAGTGCCCACAACAGCCACTGCTGGGCCAGGCCAAAGCCAGAAGCCACGTGGATGACGGGGACCCAAGTACTTGGGCTATCACCCACCGCCTTCCCAGGTGTGTTAGGAGGCTGAATCGGAAGCAGAGTGGCCAAGACTCAAACCAGCACTCAGGGGGACACGGGCATGCCAGGCCACGCCTTATGAGCCCTGGCAGCATGGCTGCCGCGAGGCAAGCGTCTCCAGTGGGCATCTCTGCGAGCGTCCCCGCCACTCCTGACGTCATGTCCCCCCCCAGGGGACTGCAGCCCCCCACTACTCCCTGGAGACCCATCCCCTTATCACCCCCCACGCGGCTTTCCAGGCACTCTGGGGGTCCTGCCAGCGGCTCACACGGGGCCCTTCTCCCGAGATGGGGTCTGGGTCTCGCGTGGCCCAGTGACGCCCCGAGGAAAGGGGCCACATCGCGTCCTGTGTCCTCCTAGTCCTAGTATCAGTGCTCAATAAAAAGGGAACATGGGAGGAATAAATGCTTCACTTTGGAACTCATTACGAACAGAAAGCCGCTCAAATGCATGTTTTTAAAATTCTGATGTCATTTATTGGCACAAAAATTGTTCAGATACAACATGGTGTCTAGACATGGCTACACTTTATACTTTGTGCATTTAGTCGAATATTTATTTTGCTCACAATTCCAACACGTACTTGAGCTTTCCTCTCTGCTCAGCACCCGTGACAGCGCTGCCGACCTCCAAGGCCTTTCCTGGAAGCGTGGCACTCAGATCTCACGGCGCACGGCAGACCCGTGCCGGGAGGGCCAGTGTGGGCTGCCCTGCTGTGCTGTGCTCGCCCCTGCGTCTGCTCAGCCAGGCCGCCAGTGGCCCGAGCAGGTGCCCCTCCTGGCGGTTCCGGTCTCGGGCTGCAGCGTGAGCCGCGGCCTCACTGGGCCAGGCGGAAGACGCGGCTCTCGCACCCGTTTGGCCCATCTTGCGGAAGTCGCCACTGCTGGCCCCACACCAGTGAGGTAACGGAGGGTGGAAGGGACGAAGCCTGTTGCTTCCACTTCCTTACGGACCCCCGTGCTCGCCAACACGAGGCGTCGTGACTGCACGCAGTGTGCTGTGCCCGTGTTGAGAGGACGAGGCCGCCCGTCTGTCGGCAGGTGCGCGTGAGGAGTCCTCTTGTGAGTGAGTAGAACCCGTATCTAACGTTAAGGACCTCTGCTCCCCAGATCAGTGGCTTCTTCCCCGGGTGCCCCGTCCCACTGGCCCGGGGACCACAGCAAGCCTGTGTTTCTGACAGTCATTCTTCAACAGCAGCTGGAAAGTTGGCTCAGACCAACTTGGAATATACAGTAGTCTTTCATGTACACTTAGAACATTTCACCAAGTCGAGCTTCCTGGCCAGAGCTCGCTTAGTGGAGGCGTACACTGAAGTAGAGAAGCCTCAGGAGAAACGCTGTGCGCACGTCTGGGCCTTCGGTTACCAGAAAGGACACCTAGGGAGGCAGGCAGAAAAGGAATATTTTAATAAGCTCAGCTCCTTCAAAGCTTCCCCAGTTACCCTGACAAGGGCGAGACAGAGGTCTGACAAGCCGCATTCCCTGAGCTCTTCCACAGCTAATTGCATGGGACACACACGTCCTCCTCTCATCCTCGGCATGGGGGGGGGGCGCACCCCCTGCGGACACTTCCTGCTGCCTCCAGGCGCGCCTCAGGCAATCACTCCAAGTGCACCCAGCTGGTCCTTGAGGCGAGCCTCCTAGGTCATGAATCTGTCTTTTCATCTCTCTGTCACTGCTCTGGCTTCTTCGGCCTTGCCTGTATCTGAATTGCAATGACTGCAAAAATCCAAGAAGGACTCCTCAGGCCCGGCCTGTCCTCCTACGCCATCTCTAACTGTGATTTTGTGTGTGTGTTTGCCTTCCAAATGTGCATGCCTATGTCTCAGTTTTCTTCCCGTTAGAACAATGAGCACACAAAGTGAAAACAGACATCTGGAGATGTGAGCTCCTAAATGCCCATGACAGACACCCCACCCAATCTTCCTCGGCTACCCTGGGCCCGGGTGGGGTCCTGCCCGTGCACTGTTGCCAAGGTACTCTGGGATGCCTGCTTACCAGCCGATGTAGCACTGGCAGAGGTTCTCATGGGACGTGGCTTGCTTGATGAGCAGTTCCACTTGTGTTGGGACGTCCAGAGTGTCATCGTGCGAGAAGTCCCGACCTGGGTGGAGAGGCACAAACACTTTAATCTGCACCTGGTTACCACGCACCCCGTCCTCCGGCACAGCTGTCCACGCAGCCCATGTCAGCGTATCTCACACGCCAGCGTGGAGGATACACCGCAGCTGGATTTAAAAATTCACTAGTCTGCTTCTCCTAACACAGACTTGGTCCACTGAATATCACGTCCTGAGCTGGCTTAGTTCAGAAGTGGGGTTGGGAGGATTCAGAATATTCCAAAGTCCTCTGTGAGGTGGACAAGTGCAGGAGAACACCCACTCGGTGTTAATGCCGGGAGCCCGCTTCCACTGGAAAGTCAACACCTCCCGCTGCGTATGTCACAAGACCACTTCACGTCCTCTCTGCAGCCCCGGATGTCCACACCCCTCCTTCTGCCTCGCCCTCAGCAGGTGCCCCATCTCCAGCCCGGCAACTAATGCATTACACAGGGTTCTGGGGCCCCAGTGTTCGAGTGCGTGTTGGAGGGGCTGGATTCGCCTCCCCCCCCCCACTCCGTCCTCCGCCCTGGAGAGCTGCCTCCTCCCTCCCACTGAGGACCTGGCCCCGCCTGCTTTCCCAGGTGGCTCCTGGCATTGATCGTCCTTTCTTTCATACCGCACAAACTGCACAAACTCCCTCTTATCATACGGTGTCTTTCACACGTACTTGTAGGCAGGTGCTTCTCTCCCCCGCCCTCTCCCTGGGGCACACACTACTCGGCCTTTGAAGCTCCTCCCTTTCCTGACCACTTGGCGCTCGCGCTCTCTGCACCTGCTGCGGTCCGGCTGCTGCGCCCCACACCGCTCAGGAGTCACCGGTGCCTTGCAGCCATCCCGGAGCCTTCCTTAGCCCTCCTGCCCATCCTTTTTTTTTTTTTTTTTTTTTGATTAATTAATTTTTATTTCACCTCCTCAAGACCTCGAGAGTCCATCCCCACCCCCTCCACGCCCAGTCTCATCAATGGTCCTGCTTTGCTTCTGCTCCCTTCTCCCCTCGAGAGCAGGCAGGAGGCGGGGTTTCACAGCGCAAACCTAGACCCTAGATGCTTTCCATCACCTGCCAGCTGACGAGGCGGGGGCCGAGGTCACAGGCTGCAGGGGGAGCGGGGGTCTCTGGCTTCTCTAGGTCCCACCCCTGAGTCACATCACCTCCTGGTCAGGAGGCAGATGACGGACATGAGCTGTCTCCTTTTCAAGAGTATGTGTCTCCCCCCCCCTTCCCTCCGTGACAGCTCTCAAAGCACAGGGAGTACATCAACTGATGACCAGAGAGAGAAGACGTAAACCTGCACGATGGAATGCTACTCTGCCGTAAAAAAGAATGAAATCCTGTCTTCTGCAGCAAAACGGATGCACCCGGAGACCACTACGCCGAGCGGAAGGAGGGACATGCTGCCTCTGTCCTCGGTGCTCTGTGCTCTAACGTACAGAGCACAGGGACACCTCCCTGAGAGGGGACGTGCGGGGCAGGCTGTGCTGTCTGCTGTTCCCTGCTGAACTCTGTATTCAGTGCAGCACGAAGCCTGCGTCTATAAGGTCAATTAAAAATGTGTTATCACAACAATTAAAGAAGGAAGGAAGGAAAGAGGAGGGAGGGAGGGAGGGACTGAGGGAAGTGCTGCATATCCTGAGAACTGTACCTTCAGGAAATCTGTTCTTTTTCTATTAATAAAAAATAAAAAGGGCAAAAGCCGAGCGGCAAGGACCCGGAGCGGTCAGAGTGGCTCCGGAGTGAATCAGGACAACGCACTCCTAGGAGCAGGATGAGCTTCACTCACCTCCTGAGGTCAGTGAGATCAGACTAACGTCAAGTTTCACTGTTACTGGTTACCACAAGACAGGGAGCGTGCTTAACGCATGGCCTCGCACGCGTTCCCGTG